TGCTTTGCAAAGTAGGCTGGCACAAGTGAAACATCCTTCCATGAAGTGTTAAAAGAAACTGTCTTCCCTTTCAAGGCCTTTCCTAGTTGTCTCTGTATGCACATGCCAGCATAGCTCTTTCACTTCATTAGCCATCCCAGTCAATTATATGTGCATGCAGACACAACTGGGGAAAGCCTGAAAAGTAGCCCAGTCTTCCAGAGAACTTGGCTCCTTTAATGTCTCATGCAGGGGCTCTTTGTGTGCACCAATACACTTTGCAAAGCACTCTTTTGAATGCTTTACACAGGCATAGTGCCTGATTTTAGCTTGCATGTCAGTGTGCAGAGGCTTCCTCAGGTAGACCCTAAAAGACATGTTAGGAGTTTTGAAGAATCTATCTTCATGACATAAATATGGCACCTTCAGGCTCTTAAAAGTCCTCTTTAGTTCTGAGGAAATGAAAGCATCTTTGCTTGATTTTGCAAGTTTGATAATTGAACATTTAATATTCAAATTACAAACCTTTCTGGATCTACCATTTATAAAGACTTTTTTTGGGGGGGGGGTAATTTCAAGAGTTAGTGCTTGCAAAATATTATGACCCAAACCCACCTATATGAGTTGGGACCCCAGTCTTGACTGGTAGTTCCACTTTGGCTAGTTTCTCACCATATCCACTTAAGTCTCATTGGTAAGTCCGAATAAATGGATTAGGCATGTGTGACAGTGGAGTACCTGTGGCAAATGCATCCATATTTTCCCATATTATTCCTACATTAATAATACCTAACCTCATTTCTAAGAGTTACCATAATGGCTGGACTCACATGCCATGCCATGATGTAGTTTGATTGGCTTTGATTTACCAGTGTGTATTTGCAGCTAATTGTAGTACACCACTGCTAAGGAAACAATCTAGAGCGCTAAAAACTCAAAGAACTTTTAGAATTACAAGACTTAAAAAGTTTCAGTCAGATTCAGCAAAAAAGTAATTTGGGGAAGGGAGGAATTCATGAAATATAGTGGCTAGAGCGTGAATATTTCACCCACCCCAGCCTAAGCACAGTAGTCCTGATCTGAAACACACATACTTCTGCCGCCCCCCCAAATTTATGTTAACATTGTGATGTAAGAGATGTGAAGAGAAAGCAAGAGAAAAGAGGGATATAGTAACTTTATTTCTTCAATTGCTCATAGAGGACAAAGTTTTATTACCACACTGTACTGTAGTTAAGAGCTCTCAAAAAGGAGGAAAAGCAGTTTATTGTAAACTCATTTAAATGTACTATACTGACTAGCACTGTGGCACTGAATTTGTTTCGTGGTGACCTTTAATTCCAGCTTAAGTAAAATGTAAATGGAGTTCAAAAAGATAGTCTCTTGCAGCACCTGAGACGCTACAGTTTGAAACATCAGATTCCCAAGAGCCTTGAACAACTGAGGTGCAACACTGGTTGCTTCAGAAATATATTACTGTAAAAATGCCCCACGGTCATTTAGTAGAAGTACACATGGCTCCCTCCCTGGATGTATACAGATGATGCAGGAATCAGAGATAAAAGGAAGCTCTGCTTTTTTGGTTGAGTTTATGCTGGTCTCAACAGTTTGCCTTTCTGAGTAGGGTAAATTAGTAGTAGTTTGTGGCTCAATTCCAGCTAATGGCAAATTCTGGTGCCTTTTAAGAATGGTCCTAACACTGCATTCATCCAATTTTATGGTGGCCATTATTTCCCAGATGATAAATGATAAGCAGTAGATGCGTATAAAGGCCCCTCCTAAGAATGTGCTAATGGCACACCAAAATGTCTCAAGTCCTGAAATTCATATTAATTCTGTGACCATTAGCCTCTTCCAGGGGAGGAACAGTATGCAATGCAGCCTTCCCACATTAAATACCATGCTAAGGAAAGTGCTGAAATACAACAGAACATTATTATTCCCATCATAATTCAAGATCAGTGATTCAGGAGAGTGCAACGTCCAAAACAAAAGACCATTTACTGAACCTCAGGATGCTAACCTGTACAAGGTTTTGTTCTGTTTGGAAAGGTCAGTGTTAGCCATCAGACTAATATGTCTGATCTTTCTTCAAAAAAAGAAAAAAAAGTAAGAAAACCTTGGATGTTTGTTTAAACATTTTTCATGCCATCAAGAATCAGCCAGATACTGTAGTCTGAGAAGCAGTTACTAACACTTGGCAGTATCCCATCCTGAAGACTTCCATGAATCTCCAACTCAAGCTAATGTCACTGCAATTTTCAAGTACAGTTTAGCATTCTGTGGATTTAAAGGGGAAAATAAAATGCAAGTGTAGATTTGGGGCTAGGCATCCACTGCTCTTGAATATTTAACATTCACCATTCAAAGGGGCAGTGAGGAACCAAAACCCAAGCTACAGGGAATCTGCCAATGATAAATGGAGGCAAAGGAAATTGCTGAAGGGATGCTAAATCTTCCCTCCTCACAGCTCTCTTCCAGGTGTTCTTCTCCAAGCCCAGCTCAATTCTGCAATGGGAATCAAATTGGTATAAAAAGGATCTGCTAGAAAAGCATCATGAGAGCTTAACGTTGCTACCACCACACACTTTAAACATGGGTCTGCTATTCATGTGTAAATACATGAATCCATCATTATTATCTGTAGTTTAAGACCAATTCAGTACACTTGAAATACCTCATATGCTAAAGTCCAGTAAAGTATTCCAAGTTGCTAAAAGCTTAACCAGAAGACAAAAGTAACAAATGCAACCAGACTGCTTTAATTGCTCCTGGACACTGGAACAGACCTCTGCAGCACCTCCAACAGTGAAACATACTTTAAAAAACTGGATGTGAAAAAGCAATCTTTCTCCCAGTCTCACAACTGGCTTTTGATGGAAATTAAAATTCTGAAACAGGCTATACCATTTACAAATTAGAACAAATATCAGCTCTTTCCAGGATAGGAAATTGTTCGCACACTGAACAGTCTTTAGTAGTTGCAGATGCTCCATACACAGCCATGTTTGGAGAAAACAGGGCCCACCCATGGAGTGCAAAGATAACCAAAGCTACCTTTGCTTCTATTTGTGCCCTGTAATAGTTTAGAACTTCTTAGGGCAAGGACATTTATCAGAGACAATAAAGAATAGGTCATTTTGCAACAGAAGTAAAAACAGCTAATTTTGGCCACGCTTCCTATTAAGGCACACAAAAATATCCAAGATTAAGGCTATGAGCAAGCACTGTTGCATGCTGTCTTTGGGGAGGCACTCTCCTTCTCTGTAAACAAAAGACCTACTGAAAGATATGTGACACTGAAGTTGCCTTCTGTTTGTTAGCTGTCCAGTGCTTAACTGTTCCATTTCTTTTACTTCTTGTAGTCCTTCAAGAACAAACTGTATTCTGTCCCTTGATAGCACCACACAACATGTGGATATGAAATTGCTACACCTTAACCCCTCCTTTAACTTGTTTGCAATGTTTTAACTCCTCCTGTCAGGAGATAAAGAAATGGCAGCTGATTTACATGGTAGTGAGCTTCAGTGACATGGTAGAAACCTTACTTCCCCCCCCCCCGCATACAGGCAGAAATGGGGAGAAGTCAATTTTTCCTCCTGCTACGTCCAAACTCTCCTCTTGTCCTCAAAGAGGTTTTTCAACATATACACCTGGAGAAATGACACCACCAGCAGCACACTGAGGTTGATGGCTGACCAAAAATTGACTCGACTGAGATTGCTTTCCTGTAAGTTGCGGTCTCGGGCTTCAAAGGCTCGCAGAAGGGCCTGCATCTGAATGCTTTTTTCCAGGCGGCTCTTCATGGTTTCAATAGATTCCTGTAATAAAGAGAGCAAGATCTACTCACTTATCAGCTTTCTTAAAGGAAAAAAAATCCTCATACTGAGTCATACTGAGGATTGGGGAAGCAGGAAGTCATCAAAGGCCTTAGGGGACTAGGCGGGATGACTCAGGGGCAGGCAGTTGAAGATCACATGAACTGAGATAAAGAGAGGTACTGAGATGCAGTTATAAGCCAAATGGATAAATTAAAAATAAATCCCCAGAACCAGATGAAACCTACCTAAGAGTTCTAAAATAAATATAACAATCCTTATCTTTTCACAAAATAGCCTTTCTTTAATATTGGAATTTGCTCCTGCAGACTGGAAAATACCAAAGTGATCTCAATTAAAAAAAAAATCAAATTTGAAGGCTGGTAGAAGAAACTACAGATGAGTTAGTTTAATATCTTTTAGGGGGGTGAAAGTGTTATTAAAGAAAAAACAAGTACATACAAGGAAAAATGAGCTGTCCTAATATGGGACAACACATGTTCCCAAGGTAAATCTTGTTTCACTAACTCCTAGACATTTTTTGGATGATGTCAACATGTAGACAAGGGTGATATTGCATATCTGAATTTTCAATAAAATGTTGAGAAACATGTAAATACTGCACATAAAAAATGCATGTTGGCACCCCATAACTTGATCTAACGGTTCTACCATGTGCATGTTTCAGAGCATGTTTATCTTCCCTATCTAATGTCTATGTTAAAAACTTTAATTTGCCAAACTCTGTGTGTGACAGCACCCAACAATTCTATTTCCTTGACACTCTGCTCACCTTAATGTCTTCTATCTTAATGTCCAGCATCTCTTCTGGTTCTGCCACTTCTCCCCAGTGGTTCAAGTCCTCATCTTCCTGGGGGCTATCGAAGATGAGCTCAAAGAACACCAACTTCTCTGAAATGGTGCTAAAGGAGTTGTCAAAGCACAGCTTGTAATCACCGCCCTCTGTAGGCTCAATGCTGCAGGTATACAAAAGAAAAGAAATCAGAGAACTGCTAGACTAGCCCAAATTCATTTATTTTAAAAAACAAAAAGATGAAAAAAAGGCTCTGCTTTCATTCTAGCTTCTTGTAAAGATCTGCAAACGTAGACAAGATATGGACTTCTAATATAGCCTTCATTGCTTCTTTTAATGCAGAGGTGGAAAAACTAAGCCCTGCTCCAAATTGTGTTGAATTCCAACTCCTGTAATCACCAGCCAATACAGCAAAGGTGTAGGATAATTGAGTCTGGCATCATCTGGAAGACCATATATTTCCCAGCTTTGCTTTAAAACTACATTTATTCCATATTAATTTTGTTGATGCCAGTTTCCTAATTCTGGGTACTGCATTTTAGGAAAGGCATTGACAAAATGGAGCATGTCCAAAGGACAGCAATCAAAATGATTAGCGCTTGGAAGGAAAATCTTAGAAGAAATGGTTGGTGATGTTGGGTAAGTTGGCTAATTTACCCCTGGAGAAGAGAAGACTGCTGAGAAACATGCAGCTGTCTTCAAATATCTGAAGGATTGTCATGCAGCAGACAGGGCAAAATTATTCAGAGTTGTTTTAGAAAAAAGGACAAGGAACAATGGATTGAAATTATAAGGATGGAGGTTTCAGGAAGACATCAGGATAAATTTCCTAACAGACTGCCTCAGGAGGCAGTGGACTCTCAGAGGCTTGGATGGCTCTCTATCAGGGATGCTATAATAGTGAATTTCTGCACCGGGCAGAAGGTCTCCAAGGTCGTCTCCAACCCCTTGATTCTATGGAATGGAATGGAACGGAATACTTTATTGGCCAAGTACGATTAGACATACAAGGAATTTGACTTCGGTGCAAAGAGCTCTCAGTGTATTTGCACAGCATCAGGAAATAAATAATAATAAAAAGTAATAACGTTATATAAAACTATGCAGTCAAAGAAGAGAATTGGAGGAAGAATAATACTGCAGTTATTGACTAACATACAGTACTGTGCAAAAGTTTTAGGCAGGTGTGAAAAAATGCTGTAAAGTAAGAA